AAAAAAAAGAAAAAAAAATTCACGCATAAAAAAATTATACCATGTGGTCAGCCAAATTATCACAGATGTTCAAGCTCTCAATCTGGCCGTACTTGCTCAGCTCCTCGAACAGATCCTCATAAAAATCCTTCATTCAACAACAACAAGAAAAAAACAAAATCAAAGCAAAAACAAAAACAAAAAACAGACGAACCAGGAATCGAAGGAAAGAAAGGGAAAACCTCGAAGTTGTCTTGGATCTTGCGGGGGTCGAGGGACTGGCCCTGGGTGTCGACGCCGGGGGCGGTGAGCATGTCGGGGCGCTGGTACATGTTGGAGAGGAGGAGAGTGGGGCTGATGCTGGGCTTGGTATGGAGCCTGGAGCAGCGGTCGCCATGTCTGCAAGCTCCGATCTTGAAGTAGAACGGGCAGTTCACTCGGTCCTTCTCCGTCCCGAAAATCGATGCCAAGTGCTCCGCCATTGTCGCTTCTCCTCAGACTCTTCTTCTTCTTCTTAATCTCATCAATGGTTTTGCCGTGATCGGTTGATTTTATGCTTTTTCTTACGTTTCCTCTCTCTTTCTTTGTTTGATTTGATTTGAGATTTTTGGTTTAGGGTTTTATTGGGGAGGTGGATTTTGCAAAACTTATTTTGTTTAATAACTAAATCTGCAAAATATCGAAAACCAAGCAGGTTTGCCCGAGTGGTCTAAGGGGGTAGACTTAAGATCTACTGCACTACGGTGCGCGTGGGTTCGAACCCCACAGCCTGCAAGGTTTTTTCTTTTGTTTATTCCAATCTTTGAAAAGAAGAAGAAGGAAATATTAGAGAAAATTACCTTTTTAAAAAACTTTATATTTTGATAAGTTTTAGTTTAAAATATAAAAATATATGGGTTTATGTTCAGATATGTAAGTAAAAGGGAGTTCTATTTCAAGGTGTATTTTTTAAAAATTTCTCGTTAAAAGTATAGCAACATATATGGCCTATTGAGGCCCATAATTTTAGTAGATGACCAAAACTTTTTAAAATTAAATAGATGTCATTCCATTAGTATAATTCCTGAAAAGGACATAATCACCCTTTTCCATTGGCTCCAAACCTCAATCAAACTATTCCCCATCTTTTTCATGTTTCCTCCCTCTATGACTTCTCTGCTTTTTTTCTCTCTATGTTTCCACATCACTCTCTCTCTTCGCCTCTCCCTCTCTCTTTGTGTGTGTTTCTCTCTCACACTGTTAGCGTTGCCGAAGATTTCGACGGACACCATTGAGTTGCACGTGATGGAGACAGAGATCTCTATCTACACAACGGAGGTGCAGACGA